CAGACACACACCTCTTGGGAAATGCCCCGGAAGTGCAGCCCCCAGGGGGCATTTGCCCTGAATTTCCTGTTTTCCCAGGCCGTTCACATCTTAGGGGGATGCAGCTCTATAGCCCCCTCCCCAAGATGTTTATTTAGAACATTGTTTTTAATGATTAGAAAAGCAACCTATTTATTTGATCTTTAGACCTCATACTTCTCCATCAAGAAAATGGCCGTCAAGTTGCAAACCCCACATAGCTTCCAATCTAGATAAATAGCATTGAAACAAGTGGCACCCATAGTGAAAGTTTTGCTGTGTGCGGTGTGTTCCCATTCTGGATTGCAGGCAGCTGCCTAGCCTGCCATACCCTTTCCCAAGGTACTCCATTCCGTGGTCACAGAACATGCTCCATCTTCAGTGGTCTATTTCAGGTCTCCTGCCCCCTTGGACAGAAGGCATATCTCATGGGTATTTATTTGCCTATCTGGTCCATTTTTGTGAAGCTTATTTATAATTGCTCAAAATGTGTATTTTTGTGTGTGTGCATGCACACACACACACATATTGTTCATGTGAATTCATTGCTATGACTATGCACTGATTTATTGATGCATATTAAAACAATTCAAATAAAATATAGAAAAGTGTTTTCTCTGGCCCTGTATTTCTGCCGAACTTGGGAATCCTTGTCTGTGACAGAAGAGAACCAGATCACAGGTCAGCAGAGGGAAATACATGCACAATGGTGGCAATACAGCATTGTCACTGATACGGCATTTTGGTGAGTCTATAATTCTTGCTGGGCGGAGGTGGCGGGTGGGATGCAGATCATGTCTAATTTGGGTTCTAATTCTGACTGTTCTTCACAGCTGTGAACGGTTTAAGTTTCTACCTGTTCTTCTTTCTGGCCTGAAAATGTCTCAATTTTCTAAATGCTGTCAGATATACAATATTTATTACCCAGGATAGCTGCAACATAAGAAGTCTGAAAGGGGGGAGGAGGGTGCACATGAAAGTCCCTAGATGAGTGCTAGCTGCAGAGTTAACCTCATGTTTCCAGCTCTGTGGGGCACTACAAGTTCCAGATTCCACAGCCAGCTTGGGCATGGCCACTAGAATGGAGGCCTCATGGAAGCATGTGCATAAAGAGCTGGTTCCTTTGTAAGGCAGCCTTCCCCACCTAGTGCCCACCGCAGGCAGTGGACAACGACTCCCATAATCCCCAGTCCCCAGCTGACCAGGCGGGGTGGGGGTTCTGGGTCTTGTAGTCCAGCACAGGTGCCGAAGCGAGAGCAAGCCCGCTCTCGCTCCTTCAGCCTTCCCCGCCCTGCAGAGGGGCCAGACTACAACCCCCATCGCTGCCCTGCAGGGAGACGAGCAGGGCTGCACTGCTCTCCCGCCGCCCTCCGCCTCTTGCCGGGCCGAAGCTGCCTTTCCCGCGACCGCCGCGGCTCCCCCCGCGCGCGCTTCCCGGCTTCCCGTACGTGACGCGCGGACCTGCCCAGCCGCACGCATGAATCGCGCCAGAAATAGGCCTGCGCCGGGAGACCCGGTCCCCGCCGCAGCCGCGCGCCGCCCGGGGAGTGGCCCGGCAGGACCTCGCCGCGCCCGCTGCGCTTGCTGCAGAGCCCGGGGCGCGGGCGGCGGCTCGCGGGGCGGAACGGCGCGGCGCGGCTGGAGGGGAGCCGGCGCGGGAGGGAGCAACCCGCCCCGGAGCGCAGCCGGAGGCGCGGGGCCGGCGGGGGAGCTTTTTCCCGTGGGGAGAGAAAGGCCCCCCCACACGCACAGAGCTGCAGGCGGATTTGCATTCCTGGGGATCGCCTCTCCTGCACTGGGCGCGTCTCCTTTTTCGACACGGTTTTAAACGACGAATACGCTTGATTTTTTTTCTTTCGAAACCAGTCCAAACCGAACCAACTCGTCGCCCTTCGTTCACCCTGCACTCGTGCGCGCTTCCTTTTCTGCAAGGGAGACCCTGCCGGGCGCTGCACGGTGCATGGGTTCCCCTCCCCCCCGCGCCCCGCCGCGCTCACCGGGGGGCTACATTAGGAGGGGAAGGGGCGAGAGGGGCGCGGAGCCGGGAGAGCACCTTTGCCCGGGCGGCGAATGCAGTCCGGCCAGTACTGGCTGCGGGGACTCTCCGGGGCTGCGGGCCCCCCGCCTGGAGATGCTGGGAAGGAACGGGAGGGGCTCTGCCCCCGAGGCTCGGCGCCTCCCCGAATACAGAAGTCCACTCCAGGTGAGCTGTGGAGGGGACACGCAGCGGCCTTCCTACCATTTCTGCAAAGTCTCAGCACAGCCAGTGGGTGCGCCCATATCCAGAAATGCACCCAACATTTCTCCCTGCCATTCAAAGCCTTTCGCGTCTGTGCTGCGCTCGTTACAATCCAAGCAGGGCCGCGAATGCGAGCGGAGAAAGAGCCAGAGGCCAGCGCGCATGGGGTGAAATTTGAACGGAGGACTTCCTGCTTCGCTCCAACGGGAGCTGTCCTGACTTTCTCATGAAACAGAACCAGGGCAGCACCCATCGGGTGGCACTGTAAAGAGGGATCAATTGATGATGGCATGACCAGCTTTTGCAGAGTTGAGTCTATTTCATCCTACACGGGCAGGTCTGTCTAACATGCCTAGGATTGCAATACTATCATTCCAAAGACCTCCCCCCTCCCCCTCCCTCTCTCAGAGGGCAGGTTGTTATCCTTATACTGCCATGTATCAAGCACCTGGTGACAGGGACCACATTCCACAAAGCTCCCATCATCCTACACTGATTCACCTTAAGGTAGGGCAGGATTTGTCACTGGTTTTCCCGCATTAGAACAGGCCAACATGACGGCTGCAGGGTCAGGATTTTGCAAGGAGTTTCCACATCTCTCGCCACAAACCCATGTGCCCATTTGACAGACTGGAGAGACTGAGTGTGATAAAAGGCATTTCTCAACAACATGGACATTGTAGGTAGCTGTACTAGGCCATTATAGGGGGCATGGAAGGAGAAACCCAAAGCCACAGTTTGGGAGCGGAATGCTCCCAAATGTGTAACACTCATCCCTGGCTTCAGGTAAGATGACAGTGAAGATGGAAACCTTTCCTCTTCCTTCCCTGGCCACTTTTGTTTACTATCGGACCCAAGGAACTCTGTTGGAGAATTCCAATGCTTGTGTCTGACTTGGTGATATTTTGGTTGGCCCTTGATATAGATCGCTGGAGTCTGGCTTTTGAATTTACCAAACAACAGTTTAGGGTGCAATCCAATGTATGTCTGGGCAGGTAACCATCCTTCTGCTCCCAGCACACCTGGATGGGGGATGCTGGCGGACTGTCGCCTATGTCATCCTTGCCATGAGAATTTTGCTCCTCTAGGTGTGGTGGCCATGAAGAAAAATGCCTGCAGCACTCAGAGGACTAAGGGTGGTTTCTGGGTGCAGACAGGTGACAATCGGTCACACACCTGCACATGACACGCAGTAGGATCCTCTTCACCCCTGGGCAGGAACGACACAGGTGATCAGGTTCCCGGGTGTGAGAAAGCACACCTGAAGAGGGTGCGCCCTTCTGCCTGGGTTCCAGGAACCCCCCAGCAAGCGGCTGAAGGCCTGTGCTGCCCAACAGTTTCATTTCAGAGCCGGCCAGGACTGCCCTGGCTCCTTCCTGCAGCCCTTGATGGCTCGGTTTTCCACCACAGTTGATTGTATAGCCTCGGGTATGTTGCTTCTGCCCTCATCCCTCTTTCCCCCACCCCTCTCATTCTGTAAAATGGGTCCCACGGCTCCGAAGGCAAACTCGGTGACAGTTGCCATGTTCGGTTTTGTGTGGGTGATCTCCATCGCCTTTCCCACATGTGCCACAAAGGGCTCTGCAGCCATGCACACCCCACCCCTTGTGGCTCCCCAGTGCTCGGCTGCCCCACAAGACTCCTCCTCCCTCCAGGGATGCTCCCCACAGGCCCTAGGCAAGCCCTCCCCACCACCAAAGCCCTCAGAGGTCTAGCACGGCCCTGGGCCCGCTTCTCAGAGAGGTGCCCACAGTGGCGTGCATCGTGTTACCTGCACTAGCTCACGGTCTCCTCCTTTGCTCCCTGTGCCCAGGGCGTCCTTTCCCCAACTGGAAGCACCTTGCAGGCAGGGGCCTGACTTTTCGCTTGCCCACCCCTGTAAAGTACACAGGGCTGTTCACTCTAGCAGACCCCCACAATCAGATGCTCTCTAGAGTGTTGAACTACAACTCCCACAATCCCCCTCTCAGGGAGCACCCATAAGGTTGGAGAAGGCTGTCCCAGTGGCTCATTCTGGGGATTGCCTAGGCTCCCCCATAGCGGGTGGGGGGCAGAATTTGAGCTCCGGGATGGGCTCCAAATATAGAAACATAGAAACAGAGCAAGTCAGAAGGGGTCTCCTGGGCCATCTAGTCTGACCTCCGGCACCAGCCAGCTCCACTCATGACATGCCCACCATGTGGACGTCCAGCCTATCCTTGAACACCCGCACCGATGGGGCCTCCACGACCTCTCGTGGAAGCCCATTCCACACCCTCGGGGTCCTGACTGTCAGGAAGTGCTTCCTGGCATCCAAATGGAACCTGGGTTCCCTGAGCTTGGCTCCGTTGGAGCGCGTCCTGCCTTCCTCTGCAGGGGAGAACAGGTCTCTCCCCACCTCCTCTGACACCCCCTCACATACCTGTATGTCGCCAACAGATCCCCTCGGAGTCTCCTCTTCTCCAGGCTGAAGAGACCCAGTTATCATCCCCCAAACAAGGGGCACTCCTGTGCTACTCAACCAGCCTCCCCATTCTCCAACAGGGGGGAGGTTGGGCGTGACCCCGGCATCTCTTAAAACAACTCGACCTCCACGTCTCAAATCT